TCTCTCTCTCTCTCTCTCTCTCTCTCTCTCTCTCTCTCTCACACACACACACACACACACACACACACACACACACACACACACCTATATTTTAATGAGAGGCAGACCTAACATGAGACTGGAATGAAAGGGAGAGAGGCCAGAGGAGAGGGCAGAAGCTATATGGGAGAGATGGGGATGGGGTGAGGGAGGGAGAGAGAGAGGAGAGCTGTCAAAAAGGGTTAGTAGGGCTGATGCAGATGCCTCAATGGATAAAGTCACTTGCCACCCAGCCCAGTGGTCTGAATTTCACCCCCAGGACCCACAGGGTGGAAGGAGGGAACTGACTCCCAAAAGCGGTCTTCTGACTTCCTCAAGCATACTGTGACCCCCACACACACACACACACAAACACATATGCACACACATAAATACATAAATAAATGCAATTAAGAGACTAGCATTAGGCTGGAGCAGCTCAGTGGGAGAGAGCTTGTTTAGCACTCATTAGGCCCTGGGCACAATCCACAGTGGCACAAACTCCTCCCCCTCCCCACTCCCCACCCTACTACTAGTGGAGACCTGAGACTTCCATGCACACACAGAAAGCTAAGAATGCCCAGAGGAGGGAGTAGAGTGGAGATGAGCACAATTTCATTTCCTTCTTTATACCTCCATGTAGAATTTCTTATTAGCACATAATCTTGTCTATTTCACCCTTTTAAAACTGGGGATCAAGGGGCTGGAGAGATGGCTCAGTGGTTAAGAGCACTGGCTGTTCTTCCAGAGGTCCTGAGTTGAATTCCCAGCAGCCACATGGTGGCTCACAACCATCTGTAATGAGATCTGGTGCCCTCTTCTGGCCTGAAGGGATACATGCAGGCAGAACACTGTATAGATAATAAATAAATAAATCTTAAAAAACAAAAACAAAAACAAAAACAAAAACTGAGCATCAAGGCCTGGCATAGTGGTACATGCTCAGCACTCAGGAGGCTGAGGCAGGAAGATCACAAGTACAAGGTTAGCCTGGGTTACATAGTATGACCCTGCAACCCCAGCACTCCTGAGGGAGAAGCAGATGGATTTCTCTATGTGTTGGAGGACAGCCTGGTCTCTATAGCAAGTTCCGGGCCAGCCAGTGCTCCATAATGAGACCCTTTCTCAAAAATGATTAGAGGAGATGGTTTAAGAGTGTGTACTGCTCTTGCTAAGGATTCAAGTTAAATTCCTAGCACTCATGACAGGCAGCTCACAGCCACCTGTGAACTCCAGCTCCAGAGGGCGCCCTCTTCTGGACTCCATGAATACCTGTACCCAGGTGCATATACTCACACAGAAGCACATATATGCCTATGATTTTAAAAATAATAAAACAAATCTTTTTTAACTTGTAAAAGAATAAGAAATCAGCTGGGCGGTGGTGGCGCACGCCTTTAATGCTAGCACTCGGGAGGCAGAGGCAGGCGGATCTCTGTGAGTTCGAGGTCAGCCTGGGCTACCAAGTGAGTCCCAGGAAAGGCACAAAGCTACACAGAGAAACCCTGTCTCAAAAAACCAAAAAAA